GGAACTATTTTTTCTTTTGGAGTGGGGGGGGGGGCATTCCTCCGCCCCCCCCCCCCCCCCCCCCCGGTTGTCATGCCCCCCCGGGTTGACTCGCCACCACCAGCTTCCTCGCCATTGTAGCCTCTCGTTACCAAAGAGGACACTGCCCAGTCCCCCAGTTCACCATCACAACCTCGCCCTTGTCTGCCTGTTGCTCTCCTTCTCTCACACAGTCTGTCTATCAAATTCTTTTCTTGTCTCCTCTGTTGCCCTCTCTTCCTTTATGCCTTTCTTCCTTTCTCCCTAATTTTCTCTCCCCCTCTCTCCTTCTCTGCCCTGTTCTCTCTCCCCCTCTTTTTCTCCCTCTCTCCTTCGTTTTCTCTTTCTGTTTCCTTCTCTGCTTCTCTCTCCCTATTTTCCTCTCTCTCCCCTTTCTGCCTCTCTCCCTCTTTTTCCATCTTTGCCTCTCTCTCTCTCTCTCTCTCTTTTTCTCTGCCCCCTCTCTCCTTCCTTCTCGCCTTCCCCCCCCCACCCTCTCTCCCGGCACTGATGGGATTGAGATGAAAAACTGCAGCCTCAGCAGAGGTCTGATCCCCGGCTGGAGCGCCCCCCCACCCCGCTTTAATGGCGCACTGCTCTGTTTGCTCTGGTGTCGGGCGGCGAGATTCGCCTTTGATTACCGCGCACATCGGGAAAATCGCATGCGACCAGATCAGCACTTACAGTGAGCGTACAGCTCGCCCCTTTAATAATCTTCCGTTTTTTTTACTTGAAGGCTGAAGAATCAAGAAAAAAGTTATTTTGTAGGAATTTTGAGTAGCTGTGTTTAATAAAGCAGGACGACGGCGTGTGTGTGTGTGTGGGGGGGGGGGGGGGGGGGGGTTCTCGCCCTCCTTTTCTGCCTCTCTAGCCGTCCTCCAGGACACTCCTCTCCTTGTCCAAGGCTCGACTTCTGAAGCCTTCTGACACCCGAGTTCAGACGACCTCACTTGAAAGCACCGAACTTTTCCTTCAAATCATGAGCAAGAGGCAAGAGGCAAGAGGCGAGAGGCAAGAGGCGAGAGGCGCTCCCGAGAGCTCTGCTAAAAAAAAGAAGCAAGCTTCTGGTATCTGGAGCTCAGATGGCTAGGCGAGTGTGGATTGGAGATGGCCGGCAAGCCTCGCTCGCTCAGAGCCCTTAATCCGAGCGCAAAACATATGGGGGAGATTCTGGTGGGTCACAGAAAGCAAATGAGGACTCCTTATCGCTCCCCCCCCCCCCCATGTGCTTTTTGATTTTTTTTTTATCTTCGTTTGGCATGTGTGGCACCTTTGCTGCCAATGCCGGCCCGTCACCCTGTGATGTCCGGATCCATCCTCTGGAGGGAGCTCTTTATTTCTCAGTACCATACGGCTCCCGGGACTCACCACAGGGCCCGGGAAGGCCCCCAGGTCGACAAAACGAGACGCCGGGCGCCTCCGCTTCCTGTTTGATTGCCCCAGAGTAATTGTCTTTTCTCCCAGGAATTTGGGTTTAAGTGTAAAGGGAAACTCATTAAACGGAATGACATTGTAACAATGGCTACCCATGTAAAAAAAAGGAAAAAAGAAGCCCATTTCGGTCCAGACGACAGTGCGGGCAGACTATTAAGTTATCTGAGGGAATTTCTCAGGAAGGAGTCTTTTTTTCTCTCCCACACTTACCCCTGGCAGGTGAAAGAAAAGGTTTGTCTACTGCTCCTTTCAGGGAGTGGGGGTTGGGGCGGGGGGGGAGGGGCAAAAATAAATAAATAAAGTGGAGGCGCTCAGCCTAATCCCTTTAAGTGAAGCGCTGGTATCACCCTAATCGGATGTAATCTACCTGCTTGGCAGCTTTCCAATCAGATAGTTTCAATTATGTGCTTGTAGAGCCGTTCTGGGGGAAAGTGCTGAGCGGGGCACTTTGGGGGCGATTTGCAGATAACACTGAATGGGCATGTTAGAGAGAGGGCTCAATGAGGTGGCGGGGGGGGGGTTACCGCCCAGGATCAGCGTCTCGGCCACCCTCAAGGCGGCACGGGAGCAGTGCCACAGCATTTCAGGCGCCCGTGATGCCCGGTGCCATCGAGCATGTGAAGCGCTGTCATGGCGTGGGGGCATCGCGGGCCCTTAGGAAGGGCGGCGCGGGGACGAGAACAGAGCAGGATCAACCCTCACACCCTGCCTACGCGCCCTGTCGGCACGGCAACCTGGCACCCCCACCCCCAGCAAAAAGGAGGATTTTTAATTACTTTTTAACTCCATGGTGCTTGGGGGGGGGGGTGTGGAAAAGCCCCCTGAAACTGCCTCACCGAAAAGACAGATGCAGCGCATGCGGGCTGCAATATAATTAACATGCAATTAACACAAATTAAAAGGCAAATGGTGAAAGTGAAGCTCCGTTTGGAGGCTTCTGAGCCGCAGGAGCTGGGGGCGGAGCCACCAACAGCCCCACGCGAGAACGTTCTCTACCTCTACCTCTCTCACTCCCTCTCTCACTTCCCCTCTCTCTCCCTCTCTTGTTCTCAATCTCTCTCCCTCTCTCCCCATCTCTAGTTCTGACTTACTCTCTTTCACTCCCTCTCCCTCGCTCGTTCTCACTTCCTCTCTCTCTCCCTCTCTCTCTCTTTCACTACCTCTCCCTCTCTCTCCAGCCACCCCACGTGAGCGGCTTTAACTCCATCTCCGTGCTCACTTTGACGATGCCGTCAAGACAATTTCCTTGTGAACGGGAGGCTTCGCTAAACACTAACATTCTTAAAACGTGCGGAGCTCATTCTGGGAAACTGTTTCCTTCCACATTTTGCTGACCAGAGAAGAAGGTTTTTTTAATTTCACCTTGAAGCGTGGGGACCGCCCCCTCGCACCCCTTAGATCTGCGGCCTATAAAGTCTCCGTTGGGCCATGATGGTAGTGTTTCGTATGGGAGCACCCCATCCTGCACTGCTGGCCCTCTCTCCCTCCCACCTGGTGGTAACCGTGGCTCGGCCAGTGGGGAGTTCGGGTGACTGGTGTTGGTCCCTGTAATGGATGTCGGGAAGTACAAGCTCACGGTTCTAGCTCCGGAGCGTAGGGATCTCCATCCCGAGGTGGCCCAGCAACCAATTACCGGTCCGTTCAGCCCCTTCTATCTACCTGGCACTGCACATCAGTCCACTCAGCGCCAGCGCCCTCTGCTGCCAGATGGCGGAGCTGCCATAGGCCGATCTGTTTGTGGCTGGGGGTGGGGGGGGCTTCAAAGAGCAGAGGATGGGCTGTGGATCCAGCACCGGGTTAGAGCTTCATCTTTAAAGGATCTGACTCTATGCCTGGCCGAACCCCTCCGGTGATCAATAATGCCACCGTACCCGGCGGCACGTGGCCGGCTCATCTGCAAAGCGGCTTTCATATTCTCCCCGGTGTCCCAGCAGCAGTGCTGAAGCCGCGCCTGTAGGGGGCGCACACACACGCACACACAGACCAGGACAGGTCGGAGTCCCACATGGAGCTGAGAGGTTCACAGCAAGGCCAGAGGTCGCAGAGGTTAGGGGGGCGTGGTAGCAAAACTAGTGAAGTAAGGAACCTGCTGTTGTACCATAGGACAGGGCGTTGCGCAAGTCTCTTTGGATACAAGCCACTGCTAAGCAGCAAAATAATTAATTAGCCACTTAATTAGACACAGACAGGGCCACACTACGCTTGGGCTGAGAGGGGCGCTGCGGTACGTCTCCTGTTTCATATTAATTTTTGCTGAGGACAGCAGTTCCCAGCTGGCATGTAAAAAGCGGCTGGTAATGCCTGACATGGTCAGCGCCGGCCCTGATGAATCGCTTTAGCCTCATTAGCGCTAACGTAGCCATTTCCAGGTTTTTTTTTCGTTCTGCCGCGCTGTTAGGGTGAAATATGCATTTTCTTTGGCTTTTAATGCCAGCTAATGCACACATTATTAGGCCTATTAGTGCTACTTCCAAGCTTCTCACTATTTATTATATAATTACACTGTACTGCATATTTAATTATGTATCAAGCACAATACATATTAGCCATTATCACCCTCACACATAGCCCTGTATTGTAGTAAAACTTCTGCATTGACTAGTTATTTTTTTGATAAACATACCTGTGTAACATTAGCTGTGTTCTGTGGTCTTTAAATGGGTCCGATTAACCCATTTAGTCACGAGTGTGATGGTCACATCATCATAGTCTCACGAGGTTTTCGCGATTCACGTATGAGACGATCACGTGGTCATAATGACAGAAGCATCCAGAAGCATGAGGGTTCTAGAAAAGTCAGCAGGGTTGCCTCTCCTGTGGAGCATTTTGGGCTGTAAGATCGCTGTGGAAATGAGGCCTTGGCTCCAGTGGAGGTAGCCCTCCCAAAAGAGCGGGGCCTGGCCCGATGTCACGGCGTGCTTGTGTGTCCCGGTCCATCTGCAGCATTCAGCGCCGTGTGATAACGTCCAGTATGACGGATGGGAGGCAGGCCTCACGGGCTCCCCGATACCATCACACTACGCCGTCTGTCCCCCCCAGCTCGTCCCAGCTGGGCTCAGCCACTTACCCCATCCCAGAGGGCCCCGTGTCACGCTGAAGAACCCCCCCCCGCCCTCCTGAAACACACATACACACACACTCTGCGTTCTGCAGACCAGCCGTGCCGGCCCCTCCGTCGCTGCCACTTCCCTTCTCACTTGGATGGTTATTACCGTTACCATAGAAACGGGAGCAGGTCCTTCTGCGAGGTCTTTAAAACGCCTCGGTCGAGTGTGTCATAAAAGCAAACAGAGATGACAATTGGCAGAGCGACGGCGATGCGGGTGAGGGCGGTAATGCTGGCGATCACCATGCCGCGCTCCGTAATCACGCTGCCTGATAAGAGGACAAAAAGGGGCTTAATTCAGAAATGAGTTCATCTCCTGTTTGGTTACTGGCTGGCGGCGGGGCCAAGCTGCTGGGGGGTCAGTGTGCGCTGCCCGGCGCTGTGTCTGCCTCGTGCCGCCTGGGCCGGGGCCTCGCTCCCCCTTCCCCTCCCCCCGCAGCCCCCCCTCCCATCTACCCGAGGATCACGGCAGTCCTCCGGCTCTGCTGGAATGTCGCTGCCTTCAGCACTTCTCCCTCATTGATCCCGCTAAGCCCCGAGACGTTTAGCTGACATCATCTCTTCCTCCCACACAGCCCTGTTATTCTAATTCATTATGTATATTAACTCCTGACACCTGTGCTTCCCGGGACTGAGCGTCTAAAATAGGGCGGCTGCCGAAACCCATGGGGGCCCTGGGAGACCCGTCAGCGACACGGCGCGCGTGCGGCACGCTGACAGGCGCCCCAGCCGCGACCCCGCACCCTTAGCATGAAGACGCCGCCTTAAGAACACCCACCTTTCAGTCGCGCTTGTTTAGAAATTCCCCGCCTGATTCGCAGACGAGCCAGACAGCTGGCGCTTAGCTGCGCGGCGTCCCTCCAGCAGTCGCGCTGTCCTTCCTCCTTTGCTGTGCCGTAAGGCGGGCCTTACCGGCGACCCGTTAAGGGGGAGACGGGAACAGAGGGCACAACAATTGGCCGTCGTCACGGGCCACCTCTAAAAAGCATGGTTCTCATTGGCCGGCAGATCACCATCCCCGCTGACCGAAAGATGGACACACTGAGCTGAAATGTCTGATTTTTTTGCCCCCCAGGCCCCAGTAATGATCCCCTTGGTCCCCCAGAGCTGTTCCTGCTGCATCCACACCTTCCCATTGGCTGTGTAATCGCGGGCATCGCATGCAAACACCGGGCGGGCGTGCAGAGTTTGCGGTTGCGGACGTACTCGCTGACCCGCTGGTGTGTTTCCCTCCTCCCCGTTCCCAAGGCTTTAACCAGCTCCACCTGCTGTTCCTCTTCCCTCCAGCAGGTGGACGAGGTGGCGCAGACAGACGGCTCCCAGCAGCTCCAGCTCCAGCCCTCAGACTCCTCAGAGAAGCAGCAGCCCAAGCGGTTACACGTCTCCAACATCCCCTTCCGCTTCCGGGACCCCGACCTGCGGCAAATGTTTGGGGTGAGGACCGGACCCCACCCCACCCTCGCTGCTCGGGAGCGCCTCACTGTGGTTGATAAGCAGGCCACGGAGCGAGGGGCAGTAATAAAGGTTACGCTCTCGTAACTTTTTTACCGCCTCGTAACGGGCCGCCGTGGCCGCACCCCAACACACGCCGGCGCGTTTGACGGCATCTTAACAAAAAATGCGACTCTCTTGAGCCCTCCGAAACTGTGGCTTCACGCTGGGCCTCCTGCCCCCTACAGAGCCCGTGTTTGATCACAGAGTGTTTGGGGCAGGGGTGTGTGAATGCAAACAGAGCCGTCTGGGGGGGGCCAGGATAAAAAAAAAACAACAACAAAGACAGCTTGTGTACTCTTGGCGGGAAATAATGCTGGCGGTGAATTGCTTTGCTAAATGCTGCTGCTGGCGCGCGGGCAGAGACACGATGCCGTGGTGCTGATCATGAAAAATGTAGCCCCCTGTCATTCCTCTGAAATGATTCACCGATTCACTCCCGTCAGAATTCCAAGGAAAGAGCAGGGTAATGGTGCGGTATGGATGCAGCCGGAGCTGTCGATGGCTGACGTGCTTGTTAAGAGAATCTGTTTAGCACACAATATCATTTAGCATAATTGAGAGTCCGAGACTAGCTCTTTGTTTATTACTTGAGGAACATCTGTTGCCCGCGATCCTTTGCTCTCACAGATACTCTGGATCTGCACCTGCCTTTTCCCTTTCCCAACCGTACATGCGGAGGTACCAGAGAGTCGGAAGCTTCCGGCAGTGGGCTTGTAAGGAATAGTGCTTTTTTTCTTCCCCGTGGTGATGAGGGACTTCATTGTTGTGAAGTACGGCCATCACCAGTGCGGGGTGGAGGGCAGCGGAGCAGCGGGGCCGGGGGCAGGAGTGGAGACGGGATCAGGGCTCACCCCTGATCCTAGAAGAGAGTGCCGCCTGTGAGGTTCTACCCTGGCCCTGTCCAGCACCTATCCCAGAATGCATCTGAATTCAGGATACTAATACAGATGTTTACAGCTGTGCGCTTGGAGTCCCAGAGCTGACAGGAAAAGGCCTGCCAGGAGTATCTGTCTCTACGTCCATCTCACGGTGTACGCCGTCTGCAGCGGCCTAGCGGCTCCCGGGGCCCCTACGCCCGTCTCACGATGTACGCCGTCTGCAGCGGCCTAGCGGCTCCCGGGGCCCCTACGCCCGTCTCACGATGTACGCCGTCTGCAGCGG